AATTTAACTGGGAAGTAATCTGCTTTTACCGTTGAGATCATAAGTCTAAAACAAACTTTATGGTTACCCTTATAGGAGAAACACGTAGCAGATAATAGATGGTAAAAATTTGAATCACACCTTGGATACTTAATATCGTCTAAGGATTTTTCTCCAATTGCCTCCTTCATGAACATTTCGAGCACGGAAGCATTATAAGGCCGCGTCCACCCGTCAAAAATCAAATCTTTGAAACGTAAATAAATATGTTGACACTCTCTTAGTGTCTTGCCTAGAAGGGAAACAAGAGATAAGTTAACTACATAGCAGAAACTCTATCTACAGTACCTTGCGCAAGAGCAGTAGCAATAAGGGCACCAGTGGATGTACCCGCTACCCAATCGAAAAATGGGAAAATCGGTTCATTCAATTCTTCTTCAATTGCCATAAGCGTCTATAAAAACCTTTAGAGAGGTCTGAGTGTGCAGAATTGACTTCGCTTCAATGTACTGATAGCATTGACTCGTGAAAGGTACGTGACTGTCATACCATTAGGACGTTATATGGATTTTTGTATTTTTTTCCACGTTAACTGGGTCGCAATTTTTCGAATTCTTGCCCAGTGACGCATATACACTTAAAACGCCTTCCTACACCCTGAAAACTTCTTGCGTATTCCCGAATCCTCTTCTTGGATTTCAAGCTGAAACTCGACACCTATGTTTTCTTACATTGATAATTATTCAAAAATTTACCAGAAAAGCAATTTTATTCGAGATGCTGGAAGTGATATAATCAAAAAATTAATGTTTTGTGAGTGATCGGAAAGGATGGAGACTTTTTGAAGCAAGGCCTCAAAAGCAGTATTCGGGCAAATTATGGATTTCCAATTCTCACTTATGATGGCCGACCCTTAACTAAGCTATCCCCAAAGTTCTAGCTAATTATTCGCTATGGTAAGCGAGAAAATAGCAACTTCAACTACCAGGAAATTGCCAAAAAACAAAGATTTGGGCCCTCTTTTGATTGATAAGGACGAGTATCAGGGGCGACATCAAATTTTCGACATTTGGTGCCGGAACGATTGCATGCCTGCGGTCGTTTGGGTCGCTTCGTTACTTTCAGTCATTCCTCACACTTATTGTTTTACTCCTCAGCATCGCCCGTATTGGCTTATACCAAAAGCAGTGCTCTTCAGCGAGAAAGGCATGCAATCCTTCTCGCACCAAATTTCACAAAATTGAAATCGCTCCTTTAACACGCGTCTTTATCAAACAAAAGAGGCCCCAAAATCTCTGTTTCTTGACAAATAACGGTAATCGAAGTTGCTTATTCTGCTCAACACACCGAGGTTCCATGAGAGGTGGGAAACCCCGTGTCAAAAATTTGCCCGGACTCTGACTTCAAACACAGT